AAATGAAGGTCTCGAAAGCTTTCTCTTTTCCATGAGTAAGGCTGGGTTTACTCAGATGTTGCAGCTCTTTCCCAGTCCTATTTTGCAAGCCTTTTAGCCTAAACGGACTATTCCTAAAGTTGCGCGGTTATGTACCAAACAGTGTTTCTTTGCTATTCATAACCAAACACGTTGGTTGGCTGTTATTACTATTGTTGCAAAATTGTATTTAAGTTGTAGCTTTTACCAAAATCATCTCCTATTCTTGTTGTTGTTGTTGTTAAGTAAACTGTAATCCATACCGAAGACCATAGTCTTTGATCTCCATCATTAAGCGCTTCAAGTCTTCTTCACTTTCAGCAAGCAAGGCTGTGTCATCCGCATAAGGCAGGTGGTTAATGACTCTTCCCCAACTCCTGATGTTGCATTCTTCTTCATATAGTCCAGCTTCTCAGACTATTTACTCAGCACAGATTGAATAAGTATGGTGAAAGGCTACAACCCTGACACACACAATTCCTGATTTTAAACCATTCAGTATCCTCTTGTTTTGTTCAAATGACAGCCTCTTGGTATAAGTACAGGTTCCTTATGAGAATAAATTAAAGGTCTGGTAATTCCCATTCTTTGCAACATTATCTGTAATTTGTTATGATCCACACAGTTGAATGCCTTTGCATAGTCAATAACACACAGGTAAACATCTTTCTGGTATTCTTTGCTATCAGCCAAGATCCTGTAACACCAGCAATAATATCACTTGTTTCATGTCCTCTTCTGAATTCCAGCTTGAATTTCTGGAAGTACTCTGTCAGTATCCTGCTGCAACTGTTCTTGAGTTATCAGCAAAATTTTATTTGTGTGTCATATTAATAATGTGGTTCAATTATCTCCACATTCCGTTGCATCACTTTTCTTTGGAATGGGCACAAATATTGATCTTTTCCAGTCAGCTGGATGGTTAGCTGTCTTCCAAATTTCTTGGCATAGACAAGTAAGTTCCTCCAACACTGCACCTATTTGTTGAAACACCTCAGTGGATCAATTCCTGGAGCCTTGTTTGCCGCCAATTCCTTCAGTGCATCTTGGACTTCTTCTTTCAGTACCATTGTTCTTAATCATATGCTGGTTCCTGAAATGCTTGAACATCAACCAATTCTTTTTCGTACAGAGACTCTGCATTCCTTCCATCTTCTTTCAATGCTTCCTGCTTCCCTATACTTGAATACTTAACGTCATCTTTTACCTTAGTCAAGCTGTGCTGACTTCACCCTTACTCAGTATTGCCTCACCATCACCAAAACTAGCAATTTTCTATCATCTAGAAAGTGATTCCCTCTTCTCTCTCCTTCCCATCCCTGGTAATCACCAAAGAATAGTGCTTTCTGTTTATAAACCTATTCTCATCTATTTATAATAGTGAGATCATACAATATCTGTCCTTTTGTTATTGACTTATTTCTCTCAGCATAATGTCCTCCAAATTCATCCATGTTATATTTTGATAATATTATTATTCTTTATGATTATATAACATTCCATTGTGATATGTATCACAGTTTATCCATTCATTTGATGACGGGCAGTTAGGTTGATCCATTTTTTTGCTATTGTGAATAATACTGTAATAAACGCATATATCTGCTCATGTCAGTAATTTTAATTCTCTAAGGTATATACATAGAACTGGAATTGCTGGATCATGTTGTTAGGTGCCACTGAGTGGCTCCATCTCATAGTGACCCTATGTACAACAGAACGAATCATTGCCTGGTTGTACAGGAGCCTCACAGTCCTTGCTACACTTGAACCCATCGTTGCAACCACTGCGTCATTCCATCCCATTGAGGGTCTTCCCCTTTTTCAGTGACCCTCCACTTTACCAAGCTTGAGATCCTTCTCCAGGGAATGGTCTCTTCTGACAATATGACCAAGTAGGTGAGACAAAGTCTGGCCATTCTCACTTCCAAGGAGCATTCCGGCTGCACTTCTTCCAGGACAGATTTGTTAGTTTTTCTGGCAGTCGGTGGTTCTTTCAGTATTCTTCACCAGCACTACAACTCAAAAGCATCACTCTTCTTCAGTTTTCCTTATTCACTGTCCAGCTTTCACATGCATGTGTTGTTGTTATGTGCCGTCGAGTCAGACCCGACTCATAGCGACCCCTCCTTGGGTTTCCAATGCAGTATCATTACGGAAGTAGATTGCCCCATCTTCCTTCCGAGGAGTGGCTGGTGGGTTTGAACCGCCAGTCTTCTGGTTAGCAGTCAAGTGCCTTAGGCAACTGAAAATACCATGGCTTGGGTTAGGCACCTTAGTCTTCAAAGACACATCTTTGCTCTTCAGCATTTTAAAGAGGTTTTTTGCAGCAGATTTTCCCAGTACAACACAACATCTGATTTCTTGACTACTGCTTCCATGGGTGCTGATTGTGGATCCAAGTAATATAAAATCTTTGACAACTTCAATCTTTTCTCCATTTATTATGATGGCTGCTTACAGTTGTGAGGATTTTCATTTCCTTTATGTTGAGGTGTAATCCATCCTGCAGACTGCAGTCTTTAATCTTCATCAGTAAGTGCTTCAAGTCACCTTCACTTTCAGCAAGGAAGGTTGTGTCGTCTGCATTCTGCAGGCTGTAATGAGTCTTCATCCAATCCTGATGCTGCATCCTTCTTCGTATAGTCCAGCTTCTCGAATTATTTGCTCAGCATACAGACTGAGTAAGTATGGTGAAAGGATACAACCCTGGCACACAATCTTCCTGATTTAAAACCATGCAGTATCTCCCTTATCACCTGATTACTAAATAGGATATATGTAAGTGAACTGAAAAAAAAAAATTATCACAGAATAGAGCAAAGTTTACTATCTAGGTGCATACAGTAAACCCATTATCATGATGCTGAAATCAACCATCAAAGTACATTCAGAGACTATGCCTGTCCAATTTAATAAAAAATATAAAACAGGAAGTTTTCAGGAAATAAAGTTTGGCTTTAAGAGCTACAAGAGAGCAACTATATTAGACTTATATTCGACTTCCATTTCTTTAAGTATGCCACCATTATTTTTTTCAGAAAGTGTTTCTTACCAGCTATATCCAAAGAAGACATGTTAACACTTTTGAGCTCTGCTGGTCCAGACAGTCTACCAGAATTAGAATAAAATTTATCTTGTCCTTGTGGAGCAACAGCTGGATCAGCATAGGATTGGCCTAGAAAAGAAATTTTTAAATTTTTCATCAATATTAAAAAATAATCAAGTTAAGTAAATCTAATATATTGAACTTAGACATTTCTACTGCTTCCTAAAAGACTTTGAACCATATTCTTACCTGTTTTATCCAAAGAAGGCATATTAACACTTTTGAGCTCGGCTGGTCCAGACAGTCTACCAGAATTAGAATAAAATTTATCTTGTCTTTGTGGAGGAACAATTGTATCAGGATAGGATTGGCCTAGAAAACAAATTTTAAAATGTTTTCTTTAATATTAAAAAATAATCAAGTAAGTCTAATATATTGAATTCAGACATTTCTACAGCTTCCTAAAAGACTTTGAACCATATTCTTGGGAGACAATTATGAACAGTTTGAGTAAAACTGCATACTTTAATCAAAAACGCAAACTCACCACTATCGAGTCAATTCCAACTCATAATGACTCCCAATGGGTTTCCAAGATTGTAAATCTTTATGGAAGGAGACTGCCTCATCTTTCTTCCACAGAGCAACTGGTGAGTTCGAACGAATGACCTTCTGGTTAGCAGCCAAGTGCCTTAACCAATACACAACCAGAGCTCCTTCATATTTTACTCAAAGCAAGCAGTTATTTTATTTGCTTTTGTAGTAAACATAAATATGCTACTTTGAATTTTGAGTTTCAATTATTACATATAAATCAGGTATATGAATAGAATATAGTTATACATATATCTGTAAATAAACTCATTTTTAACTCTCAATTTTCATAACATATCAAAAAAAGGCTTTAGGAAGAGGAAAATAAAACAAAAATAGAAAATGTTGTAAATATAGCAAGAAATTTAGCAGAACAGATGATGATAAAAAAAATAAATAAATTGTCACCAAAGCAAAAAGACTACCATTCAGAGGTCATCAGTGGTCCAATTTTCAGTAACTTCAACATTTTGGAATTTAGCTTCCATACAAAACTAAAGGAAAAAAAAAACCCTGACTCAACAGATGAGTAGAAGGTTAACAGTGCTCAGATTAAGGACATCTCTGCTAATCAGAAGGCTGGTGGTTCAAATGCACCAGCCACTCCTTATAAGGAAGGTTGGGCAATCTACTTCCGTAGAGACAGCACCTTGGAAACCCAAAGAGGGGTCGCTATGAGTTGGAAATAACTCGACGGTAATGAGTTTGGTTTTTTCCAGTTTTTAGATAGACATGAATTTGGACTAAGATTCTTATTCAGGTAGTTCTACAGCCTCCCCTTTCTTTGCCCCCAGAGGCCATTTATAACGACAAAAATGGTAATTCCTGGGTTCTTGTGGAATCATCATTCTTTAAAAAAATTGAGGCAGTCTATTTCATCCCTAGGAGGTGACAGACACTTAGATAGATTAGGTGTGCATATTATGGCCAGTATGAGGAGGGTCACAGGGATGAACCATGTGACTAACTTTCTCCTACCCTATTACTGACATGGCAAAGTATATGAACACATATGCACATACATATGCATACACTCATATAGCTGAAGCAAGTATTATTAATAGGTAAATTCTGGGAGGTGAGAGGCAGGAATTTGCTACATTATCTAGTTTTGTGACCTTCAGTAAGTTACCAAACCTCTCTGTACTTTTGTTCTTCATCTGTAAAATGGGAATAACACTCTTAGTGTTGTTAGAATGATTCTGAAGAATATTTAGAATATTATCTGGCACAAAGTAAACACTGAAAAGTAGCTGTAATGATAAATTAATACTATTTTATAATTATACACTATATTAAAAATGCAGTGTTGACTGGTCTCATTTATTTATATTCATGACCAAAAATTTCAAATGGGCATGCAACACTGCCCTGTAATCACGTTATTGATGTTTTAGTTCCTCTACTCTCCTAAACCCACCAGCCACTCCTCGGAAGGAAGGTTGGGCAATCCTACTTCCGTAGTGATACTGCCTCGGAAACCCAAGGAGGGGTCGCTATGAGTCGGGTTTGACTCGACGGCACACCACAACAACAACAACTCTCCTAAATGTCTATTGTATACTTTCTTCTCACTTTCCAATCTCAATAATCCCCTCCTCTCCTATCCTCACTTGATGATATTGCATCATTAAGAAAATTGATACACTTTTTATTAAAACCGTTTAACAATACTGAAGGCTAGCAAAGCAGTAAGGTATTATGGGGCCATGATCTATGAGAATACGGAAACTCAGAGACATTTGACCAGCATTCGAGCTACTTTTCAACAAGTCCATAAGATAGAAAATTATCTAACAAACCTCAATATTAACTATTAATACCTGGGTAAACTATGTTTATTCAGTTAACTGGATTATACAGATCACTTAATTCAAACCCCTTAGAGTATAAAAGGGCTGAGATCTACAGAGATAAAACAAGTTGCCAAAATCACACAAAAAGATAAAAAAGATTGAAAACCTTATTTCTTGATTTCTAATCCAATTATTTTTTTCACCTATACCATTTTTTCTCTACAACTAGTAATCTAAGCTATAAAAATACATAAAAATGTTAAAAGCCAAAAAAAACAAACCCACTGCCATCGAGTTGATTCCAATTCATAGTACCACCCCCCCACTGGGTTTCCAAGGCGGTAAATCTTTACAGAAGTACATTGCCGCATCCTCCTTCCAGAGTAGCTGGTGGGTTACAACCGCCAACCTTCTGGTTAGTAGTGAAATGCCTTAGGCACTGCACCATTTGTACTATAGATACAAAAGTCTAACATGGTAGCCAATTTTCTCTGTTAATGTTTAATAATCATTAGGATTGAATACAGAGCTAGCCAATAAAACCTCTAAGCAATAAAAATGTCTGAAATAGGGTATATGAGAAAAATAACAAGATGTAGCATTATAGCTCTGTGGTGTAGTGCCTAAGGCATTTGTTTGACTGCTAACCAGAAGGCTCGTGGTTCAAACCCACCAGCCACTCCTCCAAAGGAAGAATGGGCAATCTACTCGTAGAGATACTGCCTCAGAAGCCTAAGGAGGGATCACTATGAGTCAAATCGACTTGATGGCAGTGAGGTGTTTTTTTTTTTTTTTTATATATAAAGTTTATTTATTTTTCCCTTTGAAGTATTTAACAATATAAAAACAACTGATTTTTAAAAACAATGGAATCACAAACCACTTAAAATTATTTCTGCCTACTAACTATGAGTAGGGTTTGACTCGACGGCACAAAACAACAACAACAACAACTTTAAGTCAACAGATATCTAAAAAATTTCTGCCAAACGTAAGGGGAACTTATAAATATCACAAAGTATGATTAACAGAACTAAATGACAAGTAAGCCTTAAACAATTACGGAATCCATATATTCTCCAGAAGCTTAATTTATTTGTTAGATTATTTTTTGATGTAACAACTATTTTTAAATTTAAGGAAAATCTTACAGACACAATTAATGGGAAGCAGAACTATTCATGAGTCCCAATAATTTAACCTAAAATAATAGTGCATATGTATGTGTGTACAAAAGGGAGGGGAGGTTCCTTTAGAACATTCTGTTTTGCAGAAGCTCATATTTCAGAGATGATAAAACAACGACCAGTAAAATGATTTGTTTAAGAATGCACCAAAAATTACCAGATAAAAAACAAGGACCCCTTCTTTCCTTGTTTAGTGCTCTAATTTATCAAATAACTAAATAGAATACAAAATTAAAGAACCTATCCAGAAACCTGTCCAGTGACTATTTAGATGAGCTGGAGATGTACCAAAGGCAAATGTGGAACACTTTTGTAATTTTACAGTGAGTAGGAATAGGGCTAACAGTTAATGGATTTATCAACATTACTCCAACTCAAGCTGGAATTTCAGGGGTCATACAACATTCCTTTGCTGTGTCTGCAGAGTAACCCTTGCCTACTTCACTGAAATTATAGTTGACCCAAACTGTTATCAAACAAAATGGATCAAGTGCAGTATTTGGAGATATTCTCTAGAGAAAAGATACAGATCTCTTCCATAAAGACTTGTTAATTTAAAAGCTTACAAATTTGAACTTTAGTTAAGCTTTGAAAATTACGGATATCAAGTTCCACTTCTAGTGTGGCAGAATCAATTCATAACAGACTAACCCTCTCTCTAGGTAACACACAAAATATAACTATCTGAAAGCTCTCCACCATGAACAAACGAAGCATGAACCAAAGAACCAAAGCAGACAAGTTTGGAAAAGGGACCAGCATAGGTGATTTTCTCATTGGTATGGTTTAGTCTAAAGGGAAACCACAGTTGAGGTATAGCACAGAGCAGCTAAAACTGACAGAACACAGGTCACCTTTCTGGCTAAAGAAGCAGAAAGCAAAGCCCAAGACGATGGCAGTACAAAATCACAGAATGGAGAGAGCCAGGGAGGTGGAGCCCAAAATTTTGTGAATAGTCTCTGGCAAAGTCTATAGCTCACCCTTGAGCTACAAAGGTGTGAGGCAAATTTGAATAGTTTTCAGCTAAGACTAAAACCGGTATTTGAGCAGCTGCCAATCAAAAGGGAGAAAGAATTTGCAGTTTGAGTCTTACCAAGTTAAAACTGTCTTCTAAAATAGAATCAACAACTTTCTTCAGGGGAATATAACAGAATTCAGAATCTACACCATGCCCAGGATACAATCCAAAATTACTTGATATACCAAGAAACAGGAAAATGACCCATTCTTAAGGAAAAAGATAATCAATAAAGGTCAACCTCAAGATCATCCAAATATTGGAATTATCATGTAAGTATTTAAAGCAGCTACCATTACACTATGTTTAATGAGGTTTTAAAAATGCTTATGAATTAAAGAAATCTCAGCAGAGAACTCAAAATTATTTAAAAAAAAAAAAAAAAAAAAAGCAACAGTATATGGAAAGTGTTGTTGTTGTTGTTGTTGTTGTTATGTGCCGTCGAGTCAGCCCCGACTCATAGCGACCCCTCCTTGGGTTTCCGAGGCAGTATCACTACGGAAGTAGGATTGCCCAACCTTCCTTCCGAGGAGTGGCTGGTGGGTTTGAACCGCCAGCCGTCTGGTTAGCAGGCAAGTGTCTTAGCCACTATGCTACCAGAGCTCCCCTCATGGAAAGTGTAGAATTGAAAAATAAAGTACCTAAAGTAAAACATTTATTGGGTGGGTTTAATAGCACAATGGAGATGACAGAAGAAAAAGTAAATACCCTTGAAGGCAGATCAACAGAAATTATCCAATCAGAGGAAAGAGAAAAAAAAATGGAAAGAGACGCCAGGATTTGTAGGACAATACTGAAAGGTCTAAAAATTACAGCTTTTAGGCAACTCTTAAACAACATGTAAAATATTTCCTAAACTTATGGAAGAACAACAAACTCATTAGTAAAATAACTATACTGTATTCATAGTGGAAATAAAGAGGAATGGTCTAGGAATTAGGATTCTTGAGTTTTAGTCTTAGCTATTCACCTAGCTAACTGTTTACCTTAAAAATGTCAGCTAATCTCTTTGGAGACTCAGTGTCCTTGCCCATATAGTGAGGGCTTTGGTTAGATCAGTGGTTTTAAAATTCAGCTAATTTTCAAAATCTTGTGAGGTGTTTATTTTAGAAATACAAAGTTCACATCCAGAGCTCATGTTCAGAAGATCTTGTCTAAGTTGAGACTCAGGTATCTATTTTTTTTTTCAAGTTTCTTAGTTGATGTCTGATGATTAGTCAAGGTTGAGAACCACTATAACAGATCATATTTTCGGAAGACAGGAAGAGCATATGAGATTCCTGGTACTGGTAACTTGTGAAATTCATTAAAGATCCTCTACATAGACATAGAGGATTTCCCTCAAATTTTTGCAATACAGTCCCTTGAAACACGGATTACAGTTATTAATCCTTATTTTTATCCTAATTAACTATTTTCAAATGGATGTTAAAAACATTCCATTGTGAAGCAAAATCAATTTCCTGTCATGTGAACAATTATCCCTAATTAGTCCATCTAGAAATTTGTGTTTTGTAGTTTTCTAATATGTGTCACACAGAGTCACCATGAGTTGGAACTGACACAAAGGGCACACAACAACGTGGTTTGTTTTTTTTTTTTAATTTCTCTATGTTCTATTCCTGTGTGTTCCACATACTGGCCACCCTTCAAATACAGACTCTTTACAAACCTGATGGAGGGATCATCATCCTACGATCCTGTTCCCATGGAGGTGACAGAGAACCAGTGTCAGAAGGTGCGCCATGAGGATCAAGTAACCTATCATAGCTTGAGTCTCCTCTTTCATTGGTCATCTGATGGTCCAAGAGATTCCCTGGTCCTCTGGAACCTAATTAAACAAAAATAACAATTCTGTTTTATCGAGAAAATTAATTATTAGGAGATCTATAAATAAATAAAACCCAGATACTTTTTGAAAGAGTGAAAACAAAGTTGTACCTAAAAGATGTTAGACTATACTTCTATCCTACCAAAGCCATTTCTAGGACAAAAAAGGTAAAATAATTTTGCCTTGTGCATAAATAAACACTTGCCTAAAATTTCATTTTAAAATGTTATCACAATCATCGATTACTTGTTTAAGAAAAAAAGAAGCAACTAAGTTTAAATTGTAAACTGTAAATACTAAGTCTGAAAAGTAGGTAAGAAAGTAAATTGCACTGTAAAGATGTCTATACCAGATTCAATATTTATAAAATGAGGTGTTTGTTGCTTAAACTGATATTGTAATATTCTATATCAAACTAAGAATGATTCCTTAAAACAATCATATTAAGGGCTATATACCTGTTTCAATGATTTTGCTACTACTAAAGTATTTTTTAGAAGAACTCTTTTGGCAATATACTCAGATTAGCTTAAAAGGCAAACAATAAACTGAGTCTCAATGCTGTAATATAACTCTTCACTTCTGCTCAAAATAATTTTAACCAATGTGATCATAAACTTTATATCCACCAGATAAATTTGGATCTACATGGCTTTTAGAAGTTTCTAAATCTCAGAGAGAGCTCATAGGCTCTGAAGGCAAGTCTTAAGACTAGAGTTTCAAAAACAGTAACAGCATTGTTGGAATAAACACTTTAAACAAGATTACATTCATCCGGCATCCTTGCATTATACAGGGAGTGAATCATTTTAAAGTTCCCTTCTTATGACCACAGAAAGGATAGTAACTTAATTTAAAACCTATATTTAATTATAAAGGGAAAGAAAAATATAAAAATTAAACATTCAATAAAAAAAATATTCTAATACCTCATTTATCTGTCATTGGGGGGAGAGTGAGGTCTTCTCAAAATTATATTGTCCAGAAAACAAAAGCTTATTCCTTTCAAGGAATAGCTTAAAAAAATTTTTTTCACTGGAAGTCTTTCTGAAATGCTTCCCACATTTCAGTACCTCCTTTAAGAGAGGAGACCAAAATTAATTTGACCTTTTCTTAGTAATCTGTGCAAATTATAAACATTCATTTTTAAATACATATTTTTTTTTTTTTTTTTTTAGTTTTCCATCCCTTTTATGGAGTCAGGAGTTCAGCTGACTTTTATTTCAGGAAGTCAACTGCCACTTTTCCTTAAAGTTGTATTTTCTATTAAATTCCCCCAAATCCTTTCTTCTGGCTTGTTCGTCCCTCTACTAGTCAGTTTATTAGAAACAGAAGTCTGAGCAAGTAAAAAAATTAAGAAATGTGCAAGAGCCAGTAATGATGAGTTCATCGGGAGTAAAACACAGAACTTTAAAAAAGACATTCAAAGGCTATCTCCTGATTGCTTACATCCAGTGGGCCAAAGCTACAGGCTGACTGACTCCCAGGTGAAAGTTACAAACCTGAAAATCCTAAAGGTTAAAGCTGTTGAATCAGATCAAAAATTACATTCAATTTACTCTGAAAAAAAAAAACTCTTTATATTCAATCTTATTCAAACATATATCTCATTCAAACTTTTAAATTTACGAAGGTAATAAAAGGAAGGAAAAGAAAAGAGTACTCTTCCCCCTCTTTGGTGGGTCACAGAAACTTTTACTTCAAAGCAATTTTTAAACGCCCGTTGACAACTTACCAAGAACTTCTGTAGCATCTTTAACAAATAAATAGTAAAACACCCTTGACAAATAACCTAAACACATTGTATCTTGAAAATAAGTAGGAGAGGAAAGTAATTTAAATAGGAGAGGAGAAATTAAAGGTAATTTTTACTTTTATTCCAAATATCCAAATATTCAATTGACTACAAGCAATCCTTGACTTATGTAATTCAACTTCTAGTGATTCACATTTGCAGGTTAGCCAATTAGACCCTCATTTCTAGGGCACCTTTTTCAGACTGCTAGGTGTGCATGAAATTAACTACATCTCAATCAGCATGGAATAGAACTGAATACAAAGTATCAGAAAGCATCAAGAATAGTCAAGGTAAATACTATTTTACATAACTGGTTTCAGTTATATTTATGTTGGCATATAATACAAATATAAAATATTTCTTACTGCAGTTCAAGGTGAAAAATTGGGGGAGGAAAATAAGAGACTTCGGGCACTCAGAGCAGACATGTGAATTTTAAAATTACTCTGCTTTCTGAGGTGCTCACTGCAAAGCTTCTCTAGGGATGCAAGTATCAATCTGTAACTCAGTCCCTTCCCTGGGAGTTCTGGGTTCAACACCAACATGAGCAAAAGCCCTTTCTGAGGTGTCATCAGGCTGTGGGCCCCATGTGCAGGGGAACTGGGAGACAGAAAGGAACCATTCTAAGTAAAATAAACCGAAGATGGAGAAAGAGGGTACACATAGGCAATGGGCATAAGGAAAATATCCCATGACCAAAAAATAGGAAACTGATTTTCTTATGTTCTTTGAAAACATTTCCAAAAGAAGAGTTCCAAAACTGTTTAGGATAATGGCAGCTTCAATGGGGAAGTACATAGACTCTCTAAGAGACTATTTTGATATGTAACATTCATTTGGACACATGAGCTTTGGTATATTAGGCTCAGTGGGTGATTTTATTTAGTCTCATTACTTTATGTTGCTACCTTATATTCAATCTGTTAAAATCACTGATAAAAAAGGAAGGTGGGGACATTTCACTGCCGAAGAATGCTAGTAACTCTTATCAAACACAAACTTGGGATTAAAAAACTAACACCTTTTAATTTTGATGATTTTGGAATAAGCAGTATCTTTGAATTTTGCCATTATTCAAGGGAATATGTCAATGCAACTTGACAAAGTATGCTAAGAGCTCAAAAGAAGAAAACTGTAAGATACACAGGAGTTTTCAAAGGCAACCCTTTAGGAGCACCAGGCTAAGTGCTGCTAAGATGAATGGAAAAAGACCAGCAGCTAATGCTTAGGCTTGCAGTAGCTATAGCCGTTCTCAAAAACATACAAGAGGGCACCAAACAGGTAACTTTGGGTTTCTCGAAGTATTAGCAAATTTTTTAAGTTTCCTTAAAAGGTGCCTATCAAAACTATACCCACAAGAGCCCTTCTGAATTCCCTGACTGAAAAAAAAAAAAAAAAAAATTCCTTTTACTTTCTGATTGTCTATAATAAAAAGATCACAAAGTAAAAAAAATTTAAAAGTCTGTATTTAAAGTGTTGAATCATGATGTGATTTTATGCTAGATTACAGAATTGATGTTTTGTATATTCTTTATGAAGTTCATATAATAGTTTTTTGAAAAAATCAAAAATAGTTTAAAAAGATATGCATCCAGTCCTTGATCAAAATGTAATCTAACACAATTTTGAAGAGAAAGTAAATTAAAATTAGATGACATAGAGCTCCACTTCCAAAAAGGTAACCAATAATAAGTACAAGGAATGCCTGTATTTTTCAAAGGTTTATTTTACAGATCATTTTAAAAAATAACTTGAGATGAAAATATAAAGGAAGAAATCTAGAGTAGAAAAAAATGTTTAAAACAATATACCTCTTCCTCCTCCCCCTGGAAGCAAAGGTGAAAGTCTGAGTGGACCCTCCAACAAAGTTGGAGGTGAGAGAAAAGCTCTCGTTTCAGATGAAGGCCGACCCAATGGTGAGGGACCATATGGGGAATGCTCTGGAATAATTAAAACAGCATATTTAAATTCATAGTTTCAGATAGCTACACTACAGAGTTAGAATCCCATTTCAACAATTACCATCAGGTCATCCTATTGCCAATTTAAGTTTAATCCACACCCTGAGCACTAACTCTGCCTTGCATTTGCTAATATTGGGCTACAATTAAACACAGAACCCCACGTTTTTAAAGTTTGTCTACCAAATGAACACTTAAGAACAATTACTCTTGGTAATTAGCACCTTCAAATAACCATACAATATTAAGCAACAAGGAATTGGTGGTATTTTGGAGTTATAAAAAAATTTAGGGAATAAGGTTTGGTTTGGTTTGTGTTTAATGGCAGAATGCTTCCAGGTAATTTCAGCTGATAAGGGTTGTAACATGGAAGGGCTCAGTTTGATCAGGGCTAGATAGGCTGCACTGAGTCATGAATTATTCAAGTAAAACTCAAATTCTGAAAAGTAGAAAAAAAGCATAGAATACTCTGAGACCCTATAAATTACTTTTGATACATTACCAGTGAAAAGTTAGTTTAAAAATACCAATTCATCAGATAAATCACTTTATCTCTAATTCATATAAGCAAGAGCCCTATCATTTTACAAACTTCACTATTCACAAATAATGGTTATTTTTCAAGATCAAAAAATTACCACCAAAAAAAATCCCACCCTAAATACCACCAAAATAACACTTTCTACACATATTAAATTTTTCTGAATGTAGCTTATATAATATTCGAATGCAGTTATAATAAAAGATCAAGCATTATTACTTGCCTTGAGATTTTTGCATTGGGTTCAGACAAAAATTCCCTTCTGTATAATACTCCCACTCTAAGAGTTAAATTTGAAGTTCACAGTAATCTGATACTTTTTAAATGTAGAAACATAAAAAAATGTAGAAAAAGACTTTCATTTTGAAGAAATCTGACTCTCCTGAAGTTTTATCTTTTCCAAGGTTATGAAAATAAGACTCTACCTATACTGCCTCAGAAGCTTATTTCCAATTAAACTGAAAACATTTTGAAAAATTTAAACTATTTGGACAATTCCAAGGTTAAAGATGCTACTGAGTAATGAATGGACAGAAATATGAAATGTCTTTCCCCCACTATGAGGGATAATTAAAGCAATTAAACCATATTAATTATTAATTTTTAATTAATACTTTCAAACGGACTCTTTTAAGTCTCATCTTTCCATTATAATTCAAGCAAATCACAAAGTACGTAAACAATCACAATGCTACTCCATTTAAACACCCTCATACTCATTCATTCTTCCAACAAATAGTTACTGATTACCAACTGTATGTCAGGTACTTTGCTTTTCAAGGAGCTCATACACACCATTGTATTTTCAAGGCAACAAATACACACCATCTTACAAAATCCTACTAAGAAAAGGGAGGTGGCAAATAATTCCATGACTGCTACGGAAACAGACCCAGAGACATGGGAGTTTGTGGGAGAGCTCACACTGGAACCCTGGCTTCAAAATCTAAAATATTTATAAATAATAATATTAACTTATACTAAATAAACTACATATTATATATACATATATATGTATCTTAAAAGATGAGTTTAAAAAAAAAAAAAAACTACCTCTGCCAAATGCTGCATTTGGAACATCAAGGGCATAAGGATCTTTTTCTAAAAGTTCATATTTAAACTCTCTTTCAGTTAATCTGCAAATAAAGAACAAACATCTCTAAGTTACTCTTGCAAGAGGAGGCACCCATATTTCAAAACAAAGGCCACTACCAAGCACAAGTTACTCTTTTCACAATCTCATTATCTGCAGAGAAGCCACAGACCATCTAAAATTATTCTGACTAAAAATCTTCCTTTATCCCCTACTATTTATTTTAGGATAGCAGGTCTCTTTTTGTCTAGTGATAATGATGTCTTGTTGAGGTTTGGAACTGTTTTGTTTCTTTTTCAAAATTAGACAGCAATGAGTACTAAACGACAGAATTCAATATTTGAGAAATGAAAGGACCTCCCATCAACCAGTTCAAGTTTCTTATAAAACTATGGAAACTAAAGCTAGGACCAGGATTAACCCAGGGTTCTTGCTCTGAGTCATGTATGTTTTCCATTGTAATGTGATCTACATCATTCCACTCATTATAAAACTGGAAATCCGATTAATTCATTCTACTATTTTACTCTAAACTTTTTATCTTAAATATGTGGCATTTTAATAGAATCTTATACCTAGTTCTTGACCATCAGATCTGAAATAAAACATTGAATCATTTAGTTTTAATTTCTGAGAGAAGAGACAAACACGAAGAGTAAAACTCATATTGGGTAATGTTAATAGTACATTCTGGCAAGAAATTATCACACTCTGGAAAGACTTTATCATCCTTATAGAAAAACATTTACTCTTCCCTTCTACTATATACTGTATACTTTATTCTGCCTTTGATATTATTATTGTGAAACAAGGCTACCCAAAACAATAAAACCAGGCGATGACAGAGATAACAAATATTCTATCCATGTATCCATTATGAAATGGTGATACTCTGAAATCACTGTTAGAAATTCATTCGTTATCTTTCTATCCATATTAATCTTCCTCCATCTATACTGACTTAAAGATATATTTTTTAAGTTACACTTTTAACAGAAGAATCTATGAACAATTTCCTTCAAGTGTCATTTTAGTGCCCTCACTAAGTATTTTAAACTAACAAAAAGAAATAGCTACTCCTAGTATAAAACTTGGAGCTCTGGTGGTATAGTGCCTAAGGTATTTGACTGCTAACCAGAAGGCTGGCGGTTCAAACCCACCAGTCATTCCTCGGAAGACAAGGCCATCTATTTCCATAGAGAGACCACTTCAGAAAGACAAGGAGGGGTCACTATGAATCAGATTCAACACCACGACACTGAGTTTGGTTTTCAGGAGTTTTGAGTATAAAGCTGGTATTTCACAACTAGATATGCTTGATGTACTGCAAGTTTCCTTATTTATCTGTAATAAAATTACTGAGAATAAAAATGATAACTAGTATTAACTATTTTTTAAAGTGTTCCCACTAAGATACTTACTTTTGTCTGTTGTGAGCATTTTCTTTCCTTAAATCATTAAGATTTCTTTCAGCAGTCCGAGCTGCCATCTTACAGAAAATAAGACAAAATTTACAAAAATTACATTTATACAAACTTAAAATGAAAGATAATATATGCAAATACCATAATGAAAGCATAACAAATATCACAATCATTTAATTAAGTGTGTATTTCAATAAACTCAATGTAAATTTTGTAAAAAAAATTAATTTAGGGAATTATTTTAAAACGGAATCAGTTTCATGTAACCAGAGACATCAGTCGGCGGAATAGTCAGGCTAGAGTTTAATCATGTACTTGACAATGAATGAAAGGTACCTGGATGTGACACCAAGGCTTAGCATTATTAGGTACTTTAAATATTCATATAACATGACAAGAGCATTATTAAAATGACCCAAGCTTATGAAGACAGGAACAGAGACTCAGGATCATTATGATGGCAGCAACATATGTGGAACGAGATAACCATCCCTGAAGAGAAATCACTATAATTCTGTGAAAGCATGAAAGTCTAACATAATTCCACAGCATGATGGCACAGGCTATCCTTTTATAATATATATAGTATAATATAATTAGGGAGCTCTGGTGGCGTAGTGCCTAAGGCATTTGACTGCTAACCAGAAGGCTGGCAGTTCAAACCCACAAGCCACTCCTCAGAAGGAAGGTTAGACATCTACTTCTGTAGAGATACTGCCTCAGAAAGCCAAGGAGGGATTGCTACGAGTTGAGAAATCACTATAATACTGTGAAAGCATAACGGTCTAAAATGATTCCACAGAATGATGGTACAAAACCAAAAAACCAAACTCACTGCTGTCAAGTCAATTTGACTCACAGCAACCCCTCCTTGGGTTTCTGAGGTATACCTCTGTGCAAGTAGACTGATGATGGTACTGGCTATCCTTTTATTATATATATATAGTATAATACAATTAAAGTATTCTGCATACCTACTAAGTGCACAGAACTATACAGATTATATTCCTATAAATCTTTTACATTTATAATCTTTTATATTTAGTAACACTTTTATTTAGTAAAATAAAAGGTTACTTTCATTATATAGGTTGGAGAAAACAAAGCTTAAACTTGTAATAAATACCAAGAACATGCAATATTCCCAAAAAGTTGTTTGTGGGCACAGTTAGACTTGTAAGGAATATTGAATGTTTCCCAGTCATTCTGTGGATTCTCCAGGTTAGAAGAAGCAATGTATGAAACATCAGACCTGCCAAACATATGTAATCTCCTAGGGCATATATATTTATCATACAAAGTAAGCAAATTAACTTAGTCCATAAGCATAACTTTTTATAAATACAAGGAACTATACAATCAAATTTGAGTTCACTTAATACTGTGTACTACACATAAGAAACGACTTTAACTCCACAAAGAATGTTACATGCCTTAAAACTGTGAATGTATCAATATCACATCACATTCCCCAAAAAGAATATAAACTCCTTGCAAAGAAGCAATGCACAGAAAGCAGAGAAAGAAGATTTAGGTTATGTGAGTGACTGTGTTTTATCAAAGTATAGTTTATAAGAAACATCATTTCACTAAGTGTGTATTTGTGTATTATAAAATTAAAAGTGCATTGTTAATTAAGTGTGTATTGTGTGTACTGTGAAATTAAAAGTAGACTTTTTTTAAAATGCCACCTTTGGGCAATCCTACTTCTGTAGGGATACTGCCTCGGAAACCCTAGAAAGGGTCGCTATGAGTCGGGGCCAACTCGACGGCAAATAACAACACCACCACCACCACCTTTACTTTCACCTGTCAGTTTGTCATACTATGATGGTTTGTGTGTTGCTGTGAGGCTGGAGGCTATGCCACCAGTATTTCAAATGCCAGCAGAGTCACCCATGGTGGACAGGTTTCAGCAGAACTTCCAGACTAAGACAGACTCGGAAGAAGAAAAAGCGGCCATTCACTTCTCAAAGAGTAAGCCAGAAAAAATCCTTATGAATAGCAATGGAACACTGTCTGATATATTACCGGAAAACTTTATGAATAGCCCTGAAACACTGTCCAATACAGTGCCGGAAGATGAGCCACTCAGGTCAGAGAAGGCACTCAAAATACAAACAGGGAAGAGCTGCCTCCTCAGAGTAGAGTGACCTTAATGATGTGGATGGAGTAAAGCTTTTGGGACCTCCATTTGCCAACGTGGCATGACTCACAATGAAGAAACAGCTGCAAACATCCATTAATAATTGAAACATGCAATGTACAAAGTATGAATCTAGGAATATTGGAAGTTGTCAAAAATGAAATGGAACTCATTAAGATCTATATCCTAGGCATTAGTGAGCTGAAATGGACTGGTTTTGGCCATTTTGAATCAGACAACCATATGATCTACTATGCTGGGAATAACAAATTGAAGATGAACGGTGTGGCATTCATTGTCACAAAGAATGTTTCACATCTATCCTTAAGTACCATGCTGTCAGTGATAGGATAATATCCACACACCTATAAGGAAGACCAGTTAATACTACTATTACTCAAATCTATGCACGAACCACCAAAGTCAAAGACAAGGAAATTGAAGATTTTTACCAACTTCTGCAGTCTGAAACTGACCAAACATGCAATGAAGATGTGTTAATAATCACTGGTGACTGGAATGCAAAAGTTGGAAACAAAGAAGAATCACCAGTAGTTGGAAAATATGTCCTTCGTGACAGAAATAACATTGGAGATCACATGACAGAATTTTGCAAGACCAATGACTTACTCATTGCAAACATCTTTTTTTTTGATGGCTATACACATGGACTTCGCCAGATGGAGTACACAGGAATCAGTTTAACTCTATCTGTGGAATGAGGCGATGGAGACGCTCAGTATCTTCAGCCAAAACAAGGCCAGGAGCTGACTATGGAACAGACCATCAATTGCTCATATGCAAGTTCAAGTTAAGGCTGAAGACAATTAAAACAAGTCCACAAGAGCCAAAATATGACCTTGAATATATCCCTCCTGAATTTAGAGACCATCTAAAGAACAGATTTGATGCACTGAACACCAATGATCGAGAACCAGAGGAATTGTGGGATGACATCAAGAACATCATCCATAAAGAAAGCAAAAGGTCATTAAAAAGACAGGAAAGGAAGAAAAGACCTACATGGATGTCAGAAGAGACTCTGAAACGTACCCTTCAATGGAGAGTAGCCAAAGCAAATGGAAGAAATGACAGGATAAAAGAGCTGAACAGAAGATTTCAAAGAGAGGCTCAAAAAGACAAAGTCAATTACTATAATGAAATGTGCAAAGACCTGGAATTAGAAAACCAAAAGGCAAGAACACACTTGGCATTTCTCAAGCTGAAAGAACTGAAGAAGACATTCAAGCCTCCAGCTACAACACTGAAAGATTCTGTGGGCAAAATACTGAATGACGCAGGAAACATCAAAAGAAGATGAAAGGAATACACAGAGTCACTGTACCAAAAAGAACTAGTCAATGTTCATCCATCTCAGGAGATGGCATATGATCAAAAACAAAGGTTATTGAAGGAATAAGTCAAAGTTGAATTGAAGGAATTGGCAAAGAACAAGCCTCCAGGAACTGATGGAATACTCATTGAGATGTTTCAACAAACCGATGCCACGTTGGAGGCACTCCCTTGTCTATGCCAAGAAATTTGGAAGACAGCTACATGGCCAACTGACTGGAAAAGATCCATATGTGTATCCCTTCCAAAGAAAGGTAATCCTACAGAATGTGGAAATTATCATAACAATATCACTAATATCAAATGCAAGTAAAATCTTGCTGAAGATAATTAAAAAAAGGTTGCAGAATATTGACAGAGAACTTCCAGAAATGCAAGCTGGATTCCTAAGGGGACGTGGAGTGAGGGATAGAGTTGCTGATGTCAGATGGATCTTGGCTCAAAACAAAGAATACCAGAAAGACATTTACTTGTGTTTTATGAACTATGCAAAAGCATTCAACTGTGTGGATCATTAACAAATTATGGATGACATTACGAAGAATGGGAATTCCAGAACACTTGATTGTGCTCATCAAGAACATAGACCAGGAGGCTGTAGTTCGAACAGAACAAGGTGTTACGGCATGGTTTAAAATCAGGAAGGGAGTGTGTCAGGGTTTTATCCTTTCACCATACTTACTCAATCTGTATGTTAAACAAATAATCTGAGAAGCTGGACTATATGAAGAAGAATGTGGCATCAGGATTAGAGGAAGGCTCATTAACAACCTGGAATATACAGACAATACAACTTTGCTAGCTGAAAGTGAGGATGACTTGAAGCACTTACTGATGAAGATTAAAAACTTCAATCTGCAGTATGGATTACACCTCAAGCTAAAGAAAATTAAAATCCCCACAACTGGACCAATAAGCAACATCACAATAAATGGAGAAAAGATTAAAGTTGTTAAAAGATTTCATATTACTTGGTTCCACAGTCAACACCCATGGACGCAGCAGTCAAGACATCAGATGACATAATGGCCTGGGCAGATCTGCTGAAAAAGACCTCTTTCAAGTGCTGAAGAGCAAAGATATCACTTTGAAGACTAAGGTGCACCTATCCTGTTGTTGTTGTTGTTATTTGCCATTGAGTTGGACCCAACTCATAGCGACCCCTTCTTGGGTTTCTGAGGCAGTTATCACTACAGAAGTAGTGATAGCCCAACCTTCCTTCCAAGGAGTGACTGGTGGGTTTGAACCGCCAGCCTTCTGGTTAGCAGTCAAGTGCTTTAGGCACTACACTACCAGAGCTCCTGCACCTAACCTAAGCCAGGGTATTTTCAATCACCTCATAAGCAGGTGAGAGCTGGACAAGGAACAAGGAAGACCAAAGAAGACTTGATGCTTTTGAGCTATGGTGTTGGCAAAGAATACTGAAAGTATCATGGACTGCCAAAAGAACAAACAAATGTGTCCTAGAGGAAGTGCAGCTGGAATGCTCCTTGGAAGCGGGTATGGCCAGACTTTGTTTCACCTACTGTAGTCATGTTGTCAGAAGAAACTACTCCCTGGAGAAGGGAATCGTGTTTCGTAAAGTGGAGGGTCAGCGAAGAAGGGGAAGGCCCTCAACGAAATGGAATGACAGAGTGGCTGCAGTGATGGGCTCAGGCATAGCAAGGATTGTGAGGCTGGCACAGGACTGGGCAGTGTTTGGTTTTGTTGTACACAGGGTCACTATGAGTTGGAGCTGACTCAATGTCACCTAACAACAATAATAACAATTAAAATGAGCCATTTGTTCTTTTTACTGTTGTTTTTGGTTTTGGTTTTTTTTTGTCCTGCAATGCAGGAGCCATTCATTTCTGAAAGGAAAAAATACAATTTGATAAAAGAGCTTAAGAGAATGTAAAACTTACCCAATTATCATGTGCTTTTTTTTCATGAGAAGTAATCTGAAAAGGAAAGTCATTAAAATACCACTGAAAACTATTTTTCTTAAGTTAAAAAATGGTCACATCTACCACTATAATTTAGTGCAAAATTAATAAACTCAAAAATATCCAAGCAGCTCTGAAAAGCTTAGTAAGCAACATTTTAAAAACAAACTTTTCTATACACAATTTATCCCATTATACTTTTAAAACAAAAACTAAATGTAAAGATAATTAAGATTTTTCTAGTAAATTTTCACTTTATGCAATGATCAACTATAATAGGTGTTACCACTTAAGATAACTAGGTTCAGCCTAATGAATAGGAGACCTCAATGCTAACATATGTTTATTTATATCACGTTCCCAAAGCAATAGGAAACATGGCAACTTTGAACAAGGTCTCTTATCTCAAAATGTTATACTTCCTGTCAATATTCCACAGCCACATGCAATACGTCAAGGGAGATATACAACTTCAAGTACCTACAGTATTGCATTGGGATAGAGATATCAATTCAAATCAAAATTGTTTTAAAAATCACACACACACACACACACACACACACACACATATATATATATACCTGCCCTTGATAAGAAATGATGGTTCTCTCCAATTCTTCTTCAAGATCTTTGACTCGCTTTCTACAAGATAATAATAATTATTCTACTATTAACATATGCTAAAAAATGATACAACACACTGTCTTTGCTCAGGATATTAGTTAGAACACCCAGTATACAAATGTTTCATATAAAAAATAACTTCAAAAGTCTACATATTAAGTAATAAACAACTTCAGGAGCTCATAAAATATATTTTTTCCCTGAAAAAACTTTCATTAAGGTTTAAGAGTACTACCACATGGCTTTACCTAATCCAAAGGCCATGTAAGGATTTATATGGTACATCAGTTGTTTTTTTATTTTTAATAAACATGTTATTATAAGATTTATTCAGATGTCTATAAATTTAATAGAATTTTAGGAAATTAATGACTTTGGGGAAGTAAAATGTTTATTACTTTTATAAGACTAAGAATTTCTTCTTTTGGATAAGATCCAAGCTGACTCTTCCTGAGGTGAAATGAAGTAACACATCCAGGCTGCTGCTGGATCTCTTCCCTTTTCCCCTCTAGATTTTCTATTATTTTCTTAGATCCAGTGAGGACAGAGACAAGGTAAAAACTAGACTTTCAGGCATTTCTTTAGAATGTTAATTCTGGCATACTTATTTCTGCATCACATTTCTTAAATCCATTGATATTGTATGTATTCTTTCCCATTTAAACCAAAGAGGAAAGACGTTGAAATTAATAATTTTCTAGACATTAACAAAAAATAGAAGTGTTCATATTCAAATCACTTAATGTAAGAGATTTAAAATCAAACAAACTCAAAGTAAAACATTTTTTTCCTTTTTATATTTTCTGTATGATTGTGCAATATCAAGGCATCTGAATAAAAAATAATGAAATAAAAATATGTTGTTTTATTTATATTCTGGTTGCTTTCTAATTTTTCTAGAACTGTGTTTTTGTATATCTTCCCCATCCCAAAAAAAGTGGGGGCATATATTCAGTACCTGTAGGCCTCCAGTTCCTCAGCTGCGTGACTGAGTTTTTCGTCAGCTTTAGAAAGTTTCTCCTGTTTCTCTAATCGGTACTTTTCCTCTACTGTTAATTTCCTTAAATCAGAAAGTATTTTATTTATTTTAATATATGTGAAAAAATCATCAATTATATCTTTGAAATTATATCACAACTGGTGCTCCCCAAAAAGCAATCTGTATAGTGTCACTAGAAACATCACATGCAAGAAAATAAAAAAGTATCTGCATTAACATGACTGGTATGGAATTTAGCATTACAAAGCAGCGCATCTAATATACTACTACAACTATAGTAACTTAAAGAGTTTTCGTAAGAATTTATCATAAAAATAAGATGATAAAAGATAAATATTAGTAAAACTATTATAACTGTTATTTATTAAGCCCTCTTATCTGAAGAAACACTGCATTTATTAGACAAGAAGCCACCAACTAATGAACTATGTTTGGATCATTTTTAAAGTGCCTGTTAAAAATAGTAATTGAGGCTTCATTAAAAAAAAAAAAAAGGCCACTTTGTAAAAAAACAACCAAAATAAATAAAAGTCCTCCTTACAACTTCTGGTACTTTTAATAATAGTAACAGCTAACTCATTAAGCTGTTAATATGGGCCTGAATTGTTCTTAGGCTATTATATGTATTACTTAATTATAACAACAGCCCTATGGAAGATTTCTATTAAAACTTCCATTTTACATAAAGGAAAATAAAGCAGAGACTAAAATTAGATAACTGTACCAAGCCAGAGAGCTACCAAGTAGTGACTCTATTAAGCTAGATAGTCTATGTTTTTATTTATATAGTCATCATTAATAACACTAGCATCGCAAAGAATATTTATGGAATTTAAGAGAAAAAAAGGCGTTCTGGTGGCGTAATGCCAAAGGCATATGACTGCTAACCAGAAGGATGGCAGTTCAAATCCACCAGCCACTCTGTAGAAGGAAGACTGAGCAAACTACCTCTGTAAAGATTTACCGCCTTAGAAACCCAAAGAGGGTCACTATGAGTTGGAATTGACTTCATGGCAGTGAGTATAACAGAAAAATATATATGGAGTCCTAACTACAGATGTCTCTTCTCCTTCATGAAATTTAAGGAACATGAAAAACTGCTGAAAAAAATACTACAGGGCAGCAGCAAATGTTTTATATTCTACAAATTACATTAACTACTGCTTAGAAGGCATTCTCCCAAGTCAATCACTTCACAGATGCTACAAGAAAATAAAAGCTATCTCTTCAAAAAAGGTTTGAAAGTATGATAGACTTGAGGATGGAAAGGAAGTTTGTTTTTTACAGAATGTTGATTAAAGATAACAAGAAATTCTTTGACATCCCTGCCAACCACATTCAATCTGGGTAGACTCAGTAATGTCAGAAATGACACTGTGAAAGGAAACCGAATTATATGACTGAAAGTCCTATCTTACTTCACACAGTTAAAGTGACACACCAAACTCCTAGGTCCTGCCATTTCACTACTCTCCAATATTAAATTTGGAAAACTACTACTAATGCAATATGTTAGCCATGAAAACATATCAATCCAGCCTCTAGAAAATGAACCTAAATCATATTTGTATGCAGGCAAGAATTTTAATTAATTATTTTCCTGGTACATTTTCCTCTGTATGCTAAGCAAATAATCAGAGACTATATGAAGAAAATGGCAACAGGATAAGAGCAAGACTCATTAACAACCTACAATATGCAGATGACACAACTCTGCTTGCTGAAAATTGAAGAGGACTTTAAGCACTTACTGATGAAGATCAGAGACTACAGCCTTCAATATGGATTACACCTCAACACAAAGAAAACAAAAGTCTTCACAACTGGACGAATAAGGAACATCATGACAAACGGAGAAAAGACTGAAGTTGTCAAGGATTTCACTTTACTTGGATCCACAATCAACACCCATAGAAGCAGCAGTCAAGAAATCAAACGATGTATTGCATTGCCAAATCTGCTGCAAAAGACATCTTTATAGTATTCAAAGGCAAAGATGTCACCTTAAGGACTAAAGTATACCTGATCAAGCCACGGTATTTTCAATCACCTCATATGCATGAGAGCTGGACAGTGAGTAAGTTAAGATGGAAGAAGAACTGATGCCTCCGAATTATGGTGTTAGTGAAGGATACTGAACATACCACGGACTGCCAGAAGAATAAATCTATCTTGGAAGAATTAAAGCCAAATGCTCCTTAGAAACAAAGAAGGCAAGACTTAGTCTTATGTACTTTGGACATGTTATCAAGAGGAACCAATCCCTGGAGAAGGACATCACACTTGGCAAAGTAGAGGGTCAGCGAAAAAGAGGAAGGCTTTCAACAAGATGGAAAGACACAGTGGCTGCAAAAACAGGCTCAAACATAGCAACAATTGTGAGGATGACAGAGGATGAGACAGTGTTTTTGTTCAGGTATACACAGGGTCATTATGAGTTGGGACCAACTCAACAACACCTAACAACAACAACATCAACTCTGAGGAGTCCTGGAGGCACAGTGGTTAAGAGCTCGGCTGCTACCAAAAGATGGACAATTTGAACCCCCCAGCTACTCCACAGGAGAAAGACGTGGCAGACTTGGAAATCCTGTGGGGCAGTTCTATCTGTCCTCTAGAGGTGCTATCAGTCATGGGTCTATCAGCTCTATTTTCTGCCCTGAATAACAACCACTGGTATAATTCATAGAATCTAAGTAGTGAACAGTTTAACTTAAATATTAAGAATGGAATATATGACATCTTGAGAATTTAAAACTTTTCAAACTGATAAATGAAATCACAACATGAAAAATACACACAAAATACTACATAGCTTCCCATGCTTGCTTTAAATATCTTCAGATAACACCTCTTTTCTTTGAAATTTTTAACATCACTCATTAAAATTCTACTATTAGCCATTTGTTTTTTTGGTTAAAAAATATACTCAAAAGTAAGTCTTTCACCTCCAAGAATTCCTTTTGTGTTCAAAATCTACATAACAATATCTTTCATTGTAATCTAAAAAAAAGGGGGGGGGCATTCCTAGATTTACTGCCTGAAACACTGAGGCTACTACATCACATCCATCTAGTCATGTTCATTTCCTTTTCATATCCAAATGACCAAAAGAACCATGATGAATAGCAAGTTTTTAAACTGTGAATTGAATTCAAAGAATGGTTGAGGTAGAGGCTTAGCTAATAAATGAGCTTGACCAACTACTCAGCATCCTAATCTCAGTGGAGTGTTACCAGCTTCCAAATTCACAATAACTTTTATTAAGTGTTTAAAGGACCCTAAAACTTCAGGTACATTTAATTTCCTTTTATGATGAAAAATATGTGGTATACTGGTTAATATTGGAGTCTCTGTATAACTTTGCACTTAGGCATCAGTATATATATGCAAATACTCTTTTACTCCATGTATAAAGGCTCTAAATATATCTTCTCATATGTTCAACAAATATTTGTTGAACAGCTTTCATGTGCCAGGCATAGATTTAGGTGCACTGGGGGTACAGAAGAGAAGAAAATAAAGTAATTCTCTCATGAGTTTACGCTTCATGTAGATGTGAGCTCCGATTTAATGTAGGGAAGACAAAATGAAAACAACCAATCATCAGAGGATAATGGCTAGGAAGAAAAAGCAAGATAAGTGGATAGAGAATGCAGGTATAACTTTAGATAGGATGTCTCTTTGAAGACTAGGATGTGCCCAACCCAAGCTATGGTGTTTTGGATTGCCTCATATGCATGTGAAAGCTAGACAACGATTAAGGAAGACACTTAACAACATCTGTATATTGCATAGAAAACAAAGTACAGAAGTTTAAGAGTGGAAGGAGAGAGACCACTTAAGAGGTAACTAACTATAATAAGCCAGGTACTAACTGATGATGGCTTGAATCAGAATACTAATATGGGAGGAGGTGAAAATATTGGAAAATATTCAAGATATGGAAAAGCTGACAGGATTTGATGACAGAATGAATATGCAATATAAGAAAGAAGTTGAGGATGGCTGAAGTAGATGTGCTGAGCAATAGGTAAATGACCCTGCCGTTTACTTAGACAAGAAACACTAGGGCAAAAGCAACTTGCAAGAGGAAGAGGGGTCAGTTTAGGACATATGAGCACTGAAATTAATGGGTAGTTCCATCATTAGTGTTCATCCAGACTCCCTCACGTAACCACACAGTATTAGGAAGACTAAGTCAATTATTTGCTGACTATTTATTAACAATTAAAGAGGATTTTGTGAACTACCTTGAAAATTCTAACATCATTTATAATATTCTATGAATAAAAAGTCTCAAGATCAAATAACTTTATGAAAAATGAATTGATGAAATATAACCTAATCATATATTGAGAACTTCTAATAATCACATAAGCTGAATAGGTGACATTTAATTTTTAAGCTATTTTACTTGTCATTCAATGGAGTTATCAACACAATTTTTATTACCTGTGAAGCTTCATTTCATTTTCTTGATACAGCTCAGTAATTACTTTAAGTTTCTGCTGAAGCTTTTGATTCTCATTTTCAAACTGTGTATTTGCTGACTGCAAAGATGATTTCTCAGTCTGGAGACCTTTAATGCACTCTACAGAGAAAATTTAAAAGTCACAATTAATGTAGTAAATATGTTACATTACACACTAACATTTAAGAAAAATAAAAAATATTGCTAATAAATTATTATCTCAGGATATACATTCCTCTCTGCAACAACCACAAAAACCTATAAGGTATTTTGTTTGCCTAAACACTTTATAGTATTTCAACTAAAGAGCTTTGATTAAAATATTAAATAAAATAACTATTATGTATAGGTTTCCAAAACTTTCAATATTCTAATTCGAGCATCTACTTTTCAGTCTGGAAGTCAAAAGCCACTAAAGTTCTCTAAGGTTTTAGAGATGAGAGTTTTTATGGCATTCCCCAAGGAACTACTTCCATGTGATAAACAATACCTGGTTTTAATCTAGCAAATCTTTACCTGTTAATATTTAACTTTTACCCAGCCCTCCCTTTTAGGTCAAAATTTTGATAAATGTTATAAATCAAGCCAGAAATCTAGATCATCTGTTAACAAAAGCTCAAAAGTTCTCATAGGTTAAACCAGATCAAGACTAGGAAAACAAAATATCAACTATAGCTTTCTTTCAACTGCTAAACCATCTAAAAGAATCACCTATTAAGCAAAAATTAACTATCCTAAATACAGGAGCTCTGGTAGCATAGTGCCTAAGGCACTTGACTGCTAACCAGAAGGCTGGTGGTTCAAACCCACCAGCCACTCCTCGGAAGGAAGATGGGGCAATCTACTTCCATAGTGACACTGCCTTGGAAACCCAAGGAGGGGTCGCTATGAGTCAAGTCTGACTCGACAGCACATAACAACAACAACAACAACATATAATTATGAGGAGCTCTGGCAGTGTAGTGCCTAAGGCACTTGACTGCTAACCAGAAGGCTGGTGGTTCAAACCCACCAGCCACTCCTTGGATGGAAAGTTGGGCAATCTACTTCCGCAGTGATAATCTCCTCGGAAACCCAAGGAGGGGTCACTATGAGTCAGGTCCAACTTGACAGCACATAACAACAACAAAAAATAATTATGAGTACTTTATAATCAGTGCCTCATTTGTTCTGAAACCTTCATCCCTCTTCCAACATAATAACTTCAAATCTGAACTCCTCTAAGATTCAGGTACCATCTCCCAAAACATGAGTATGAATCTCCACAACAAATTTTCATAAGATAAAAACTCACTCTGCCCAGAGAAGACATTTTCTAAATCATGCTAACAAGCATCTACATCTTAGTAAGTATGTAGTAGTATATGCAGTGCTGTTGTTGTTAGGTGCCATTGAGTTGGCTCCAACTCATAACAACCCTATGTACAACAGAACGAAACACTGTGTGATCCTGTGCCAGCCTCACAATCCTTGCTATACCTAAGCCCATTGTTACAGACACTGTCAATCCATCTCATTGAGGGCTTCCCCTTCTTCACTGACCCTCCACTTTACCAAGCATGATATCCTTTTCCAGGGAGTGGTTCCTTCTGACAACATGACCAAAGTAAGTGAGACAAAGTCTGGCCATTCTTGCTTCCAAGAAGCAGTCCAGCTGCACTTCTTCCAGGACACATTTCTTTGTTCTTTTGGCAGTCCGTGGTACTTTCAGTATTCTTCGTCAATACCACAAGTCAAAAGCATCAAGTCTTCTTTGCTCTTCCTTATTCATTGTCCAGCTCTCACAAGCATTATGAGGCAACTGAAAGTACCATGGCTTGGGTTAGGCACACCTTAGTCTTTAAGGCGATATCTTAGCTCTTCAGCACTTGAAAGAGGTCTTTTGGAGTAGGTCTGCCCAGGGCAATATGTCATCTGATATCTTGACTGCTATTTCCATGGGTGTTGATTGTGGAAGAAAGTAATATGAAATCTTCAACAACTTCAATCTTTTCTCCATTTATTGCTTATTGGTCCAGTTGTGGGGATTTTCATTTTCTTTAGGTTGAGATGTAATCCATACTGCAGACTATAGTTTTTAATCTTCTTCAGTATGTTTCAAGTCATCCTCACATTCAGCAAAGTTGTATTGTCTGCGTATCACAGGTTGTTTATGAATCTTCCTCCAGTCCTGATGCCACATTCTTCTTCATAAAGTCCAGCTTCTCAGATTATTTGCTCAGCATCCAAAACCAAACCAAACTCACTGCCACTGAGTCAAATCCAACTCACAGAGACCCCTCCTTGGGATTCTACATGTTGTTGTTATGTGCCATTGAGTTGGCCCCGACTCATAGCGACCCCTCCTTGGGTTTCCAAGGCAGTACCACTACAAAGGTAGGATTGCCCAACCTTCCTTCCGAGGAGTGGCTGGTAGGTTTGAACCACCAGCCTTCTGGTTAGCAGTCAAGTGCTTTAGGCACTAAGCTAC